TCCTTTTCTCAATTTTTTAAAAGATAGATTTAATTGCTACTTTTTTCAAAAGTAATTGCTACTTTTTAAAAAAAAAAGTCATATGGTTAAAAATAAGAACCTCTGGGATCAAAAAAAGCTTCATAGCACTTTCAAAAGCATACCAGCCCAGTATTTTGATAACTTGGCCATCACCGCCCCCTCTGTAAGAATGGGAAATCTGGGTTACTTGTAGGGTGAAAGAAGAAAGAACATAATAAGAGAATAAACAAAAAAAACCCTCCTTAATAAACTGATACAACTGTAGATAAAAAATTTCTATACAGTTGGATACATAAAATAAAATATAATGCTTCAAATCCCTCCTAAAATGTATACCACACATTGCCCTTGGCAATAAACCTAGAAGGGAGAGTTACATGAATCCCAGTATTCTTCATGGGTGTGCTGGCATTTCTCTTTCTCTGCAGTTTTCTTTGTAAAGAGGCTTTTTTCCTTCATCTTTCTCTCCAAACATAAGATAACATTGCTGAGAGGATGGTTGCTATATGTCAGCTCAGAAATGGTTTTGCTTCAGTGGTGTGCAGGCAGTCCTGATAAAACTAAGATCTTTGGAGAGGAATTATGGGATATAAATGAAGTATTTAACTACAGTTTCCATCATCCTCAGAAAAAACATACAGGCCTCTTTTCCATAATACAGTATCTCCACATTTCCTTGGTTTAGTTTGAGGTGGACTTTGGAAGGTGCTATCCCACAAGCATAACTTTAACAATGAATGATTCCTTTGGGTCATTACTACCCTACTTTGTAACAGAAAAATCCAACCAAATAAGCAAACCAAAACCTTCCCCCAGAGAACTAAGATGTAGGTTAGCGTCACCCATCTTGCATTGTTCCCTTCACTTTTCACAAGTAGAAAAGATCATGGAGTTTCTAATCTTATTAAGAAAACAAAAAATGTATTTCAAAATAGGATGAGAACTAAGAAGGCCATTTTCCAAATAGTGTAAGAATTTCATAGTTAATCCCTTGTTGTTTCTGCTAATTAGCAGAGACACGTGGATTGCTGAATCACCCCAGGAGATTTCAGTGCAAGATCAAAGAGAAAATAGGACAGGGTGAAAGCAGAAAGTTTCTATACAAAACACAGATGTTTTTGATAAAGCAACGAGACTTGACAATTAAATGTGTAGGAAAGATGCCTGAATAGTGCTGCACCTGAACTTGTGTTTTGGTAAGACAGCCTGTTTCTCTCAGAAAGTCTCCTGCTAAATAACATGGCCCAAATGAGATGTTAAGAGATTGTTTTGAGGAACAAATAAAATCCAGAGTCAAAGCACAATGAATTACAGAAATTAAAGGAACCTGAGCTAGAGCAACTCCTAAAAACAGATTAAAGTCTTCCTGCCACTACTCTATACAGCTATTTCTGTAAGGCTAATGCCAGCACAACATTTTGAGAGTGCTGACAAGAGCTTCCAGTTATCTAGCTGCTCACTGCTCACTGCATTTTCCTCCTTTTCATCCTGTGATCGCATCTAGGCTCCTGAGTATCCAAGTTTCACCATACAAGGGCAGCTTCAGGCTCCTTTAGAACCAGGTTAGGAGTGTGGACTAGGACCAAGATAACGAGCCCAGAAGGCCTGACTATTCCTGTAGCCTTTACCAGAGGACTGTCCTGTCTCCAACCAAGTCTACGTAAAAGCCCAACTAGTCTGCTAGGTAGATTTTTATCATGTCTCAGTTATACCCATATACACTGGGGAAATCTAAATTAAAGGTTCACAACCATATTACAAATGAATAGAAATCACACTGAAGGAGGAGGGGAATAACTAACCTCAGTAACTTTGGAAAACAGTATTTTGACTGAATACTATAAGGTCAAAACCAAAAATAACTGCACAAATATTAAGCTTTAGTTAGTACATTTGTTTCCATAGTGGTATGGGTTAGCAGGCTACTTTTACAGTATACTAGGATTGAACTAATAAGTAAATATAGTGTAGACAATGACAGCCAGGTTTCTTACTGTCAGAGAAGGAAGTTGCAAATGAGAAAGAGGGAAAAGGGACACTGAAACCTGTGATACTGGATTATTGAAAATATCCTTATGAATTCACATTGCTTTACACACACACACACACACACACACACACACACACACACAGAACTAAGCTACAAATGAGGAAAGGAGGAAGAACAACATGACCCTTGTGTTGCTGTACTGGAATTGGAGTGACCAGTATGAATTTGTTGATTTTAATAGATATACAGACAGACAAATGTGGAAATATTAATAAATCTAATATGTATATGTGTGGGCTAATATACATACATATATAGTATTTTCTAGCTCTGTCTGAGAGGGCCTAGAAACAATGACACCCCAGTAACAGCACACCTAGTACCCAGATCTTGGTTTCTAAAGACCATTCCCCAATAAAAGGAACCAAGATTCCACATAGAAGGGGTTCATTCCAGGGCTAGGACAGAGAAAACACAAGATGAGCCTGGTGTATCTTGTAGTGCCACAAAGAAAAAAAGGACGGAAGCATGATGAAAGGGCAAAGGAGCCAACCTGAAAGATTTCCCAATGTCCAAAGTTGGAACAATTTGAATCACAATGTAAACAACTATAATACTAGATTATGAGCCACAGAATAACATAAATATCAATGAGCCCATATTGAATAAAGTAAATAATTGCATAAATAAATGAACAAATAAATAGGGAAATAGTTCTTTCTAGAAGAATTTCAATTAATAAATATAGAAGAAATAAGGAATATACAAAAATCACCATTAGACAAATATCACATTAATAACTGTCGCAGGAAGATCCACCAATGTATGCTAAAGTTAATAGCTGACAGTTTAAGGAGAAGCAAGATATTTACATAGTTTCATAATATCTCCCGAAAGACATGAAGAAAGAAAAATAGCAACTTTACAATGGAGAAACCCAGCAGACACATCCTTAACCAAGTGATTGAGGTTGACACCAACAATTATGTACACTTTGATAGGATGTACTGAGAAGGGTACAGTATCACTTAATATAGCATTCTTACCAAAATTGTAAAATCTTAATCAAAGGAGGAGACAACACCAGAAAACTTAAATTGAGAGACTTTCTACAAAATATCTCACCAGTTCTCTTAAAAAAAAGTCAAGATCATAAAAGACAAGGAATAATTGAGGAAATGTCACAGACTGGACAAGGCTAAGAAAATGCAATGTGAAATTATGGGTTGAGTCTGGAATAGGAAAAGGACATCAGTGGAAAAACTGGCAATCTTCTAATAGGGTCTATAGTTTAGTTAATGGTATTTAATGGTATTGTACCAATGTTAATTTCCCAGTTTTGATAATTATACTATACTTATATAAAATGTTAACATTGGAAAAAGCTGGGTAAAGGGTATTCTGGAACTCTCTGCACTATTTTTGCAACTTTTCTGCATGTCAAAAATTATTTTGAAATAAAAACTTAAAATAATAAAGCATAGGTGCAAATCAAGCAGAATCTGTGGCAAAGTAGGGGTACTTTATTCATTATACTCATTTCCCCCTTTTAAATACAGTGGTCCTTTTAAAACCAAGTAATCCATTTTTAGATGGGTCACTAATTTTGTAAAACTCTGTATATGGAACTAACATTTGTATCTAGCAGTTTCACCTAAAACATATATGATTGTACAGTGGACTTCAATACATTTTAAAAATTAATTTTTAAGAGAACATATGTTTTAGTTATCTCTCATTCATTGGGTAACATATCATGGTACTTTTTCCTTAGGCCTTCTCAAGAGGGCCCCCTGAATACTCATTTCTCTTAGAAATCTAAACTGTTATTATAGAAGGATATACTAACTCCATCTGTCTCACGAAGGATGCAGAATCTAAGAGTCTTTGCTAATCTTTCTCAAAATGTTAATTCCAACTCCTAACAGTTCCTCCCACCACGTTTCCTTCTCTTTTCCTGAAGCCAAAACTCTGACCAAATTCTGTTGTTTATTGTCTGAATAATTACAACTTCCTGCCTCACTCAGTCCAAAATGCTGCCATCAAATGTGTCTATCTTTTTTAAAAATATTGTCTTGACCACCTTATTTTTTCCTCATATCTTAGTTTTTCATATCATATTCTGCTATTGATTTCCAGGGCCTTTATAAGTCTATCCCTACATTTATCAAGCACCCTCAACATCTTCCTAACATTTTCTTTTCTCCTGTTAAATCCATTCATTCATGTATTTATTTCATTAACTTTCACTGAATTTCAGCAATGCCTAAGGCACTGGGGTGGGTATTGTAGGAAATAAAATACACATATTTATTTTTTCTCATCCAACCTTTTTATTTACAAATCTGCCAAGTAGTTGCTTTTACCTGAAATGTTATAAGCCCCAAATTCACACCTTTATCAAACCCACTTCATTGAAAAAAAAAAAAAACTGCTTTAAGTAGCCTGAGGTGAATATTTGTCTGTCTATAAAAAACTGGCCAGTTATTTTTACAAAAAGAGAAAGAAAAAGAAAGGGAGAAAGAGTAAAATAAAATGTAGATCATTATAAAGAGAAGAACAGATATAAGCATATCATTGCTTTAGGATCTGAGCTACCAAAAGGCCAGTAGCTGGTTTTTATATCTTCTGAATAATCCGGAACACAATGGTCCTTAAGACTATTAAGGTGGAACCCAGGATTTGAAAAACTGTCAGAGAGCTACCTTAGTATTATAGTTAAATGCTATTCTGAAGAGGGTAATTTAGGAAGAAGTACTAAATTTATCCCCCCAATTTCCCAGGATCCCATGAGAATATATAAAGAATAGCTTAGATTGGTATACTGCCCTGTGTACCAGCTCAGCTGGGCAGCACAGAACAGCGTGGGCAGTTTTGGTATTTGTGATGACGCTCAGCTGGGCTTAATGTTTACTTTATCCCATCTCTGATGGAGCTCCTTGTCATTTATACTCCAGAACACTGAATAAAGAGACATTACCAATCTCACCTGTTGATTTTCCTTGAAAGTTTGGATTAATAACTCTTTCAGTTTCCTTTTTCTTTCTTTCGCCATTTTTTCTTCATCCAGAAGAATGTGAGCACTTCGAAACATGCCTTTTTCTAGATTCTTTTGAGAATTTTCTTCTTGCCTTTTCTTCTCTCTATGAATAACAATTTAAAAATATATGTATGTACAAATGATTTAAAAATGAGTAATTACTACCTCCTGCAGTGGAATGAATGCTGAATTTTCCATCGGAAGACACAGATTTTTAGATGTGGCTCTAAAACTATGTAGTAGGGTGATTTTTGGAGTGTGGGGAAGCCTTAGTTTATTTCTTCATAAAATGCAGATTAAATGAAAGAAAATTGTTATAAAGTACTTTGTAAAGTAGAAAGTCCTGTAGATACTTTAGTATTTTAATTGTGTTTAACAATAGGCCATACTTTGATCAAAATTTGAGAGTTAAGAACTACTAGGTATTCTCTAGAGAATAATAAATTCTCTCTCTTCTTATAACGTGGAAGAAAAAGGGATCTTCAAGTAAGAAAAGAAGGAGATTTATACCATAAAGCTTTTTACAAGGTTTCTAGGAAGAAAAATAATAGAAGAATCAAGTGTTATTGACTAAGGAGAGAATGGAATCTAGAATAATTCTAAAATAGCTGAAAAGAGAAAAAAAAATAAAACCTAGTAAGGAAAAGGCACTTAGACAAGTAATCAGGATCTCTTACTAACTCTGCTGCTCATCTTTCTGGTAATCCCCTTTCCCATCCACCTATCTATTCTTCTTCATCCAGGCCATCCCTCCTTCACTCACCAATTCAAGCATGCCCATAGCTATGGCATTCTTATTGGCTGGCGTATATTTACTACATAGGTATGTGTATGTCTATAAAGCATATATTATTAATGATGTGGCAAACACAGATCCTAGTTAGAAGTTAGAATTCATAAGCTCTGGCCACAAAGCAGCTGTGAAAACTCAGACAAGTCACCTAGTCTTTCTGGAACTTCACTTTATAGTTGTGGAGACTCAGATTGAGAGGGATGTCAGAATACTGTATAGATATTCTCTCATTTGTTCTCATATATCATACAGAGGCATACATTGTTATGTTTTATTACCAGTGATGTTAACCATCATTTGGTTAAGGTTGCTTCAGTATAAAGTTATTAACTTTCCCTTTGTAATTAATAAGTACCTTGAAAGAGATACTTTAAAACTATGCAATAAAGCAGATTTAAGATAGCTTACAAATAAGTTAAAAGGCCCTACCAACAGTAAAATTTTACTGACTCTTTCCAAACTACTAATGCTATAACAATGATATATTAGATGGTTATAGGCAGGTCATGGTGAGCATTAAAGAAATATGGTTCTAATACCATGAATTTTATTTTTAAAAATAACATTAGAATATATATATGTGATGAAAGTAGTATCTGTTCATTGTGAAAAACCAGGGAGGAATAAAAGCCATCCATATTTCCACTCATAAAAAAAAATGTTGGTCCTGTTTCATTGTACAATCGTTATTTAATAATTTCTCTAATATTTATTAATGTCTGCCATTATAAATAATGTTATTTTAATTATCTTTGTGTACAAATCTTTAAAGGTCTGCTTTACTGATCATTTTCTGAGAGCAGTTTTCCTAGGACTGGAATTCCCAGGTCAAGGGATAATCCATTTTATGGCTCCTGTTTATTGCTAAATTGCTTTCTGAAAAGTTTAAATCAGTATATCCACAAGAAGTTCAACATATTATCTGTTCTCACTGTAACCACAGATAAGATTTTAACTTTTAAAAGAAATGATTTTAACTTTTAAAAGAACATGTGTTGAGTGCCCACTGTGAGCAGAGCATTCTGCTACCATCAAATGTTACTTGTTCTCACAATTCATTTTAGGTCAGCCTAGTTTTTCCAGGGCTTGGGATCAATCTGAAAAGCAAGGTTGACTTTAGAAAGAACTCACTAAAACGCTGGCAACTGCTTTCTGAAAGGAACAGCAATCTGGAGGAGGTCTGAGCCTGGTACCTGAAGGAATGAAGCACATCCACTGCTGAGCTGTCTTAAATTGGGTAGAGTAAGAGCAATCAAGAACACGGGGGAAAAGCTGATGAGGGTGGGAAGGATCATCTAATAGGTCTTTCTGGCCACTCAGTTTGAGTGTTCAGACACTTTAGTCACATTGTGCCAAGATTTTCACAGTTCATGCATCAGTGCTGTTTCTCAGAATAAATACTTCAGTTATTTTCCTTATAAAGCTGATTTTCTGCATGAGGATGGATAACAGTACTGCATCCTATGAGGACTATTTTCCTCTTATGTCCAATATTCTTTTTCTTTATCAGTGGCAGTAAGGCAATGGTGACTTTCCATATGATTATCAGAAAATAAGACATGCAATTCACGATAAGACAAAGCACAATTACCAAACATGCATAGGAAACATGTTCAACCTTAAAAATAATATGTAGCCATATAAATATAAACTAATTAATGATACCTATTAAAAGTGTAAAAATATTAAAAATGATGATACTCCCCAATGCTGAGAAAAGGGTGGTAAACAGGCCTGTTGCTGCTGGCAATAGAAAAGTGTACTACCAACTTAGAGAGCAATTTGGCAATGTTTTTTTTCTTTTTTTTATTTCAGCATATTATGGGGGTACAGATGATCAGGTTACGTATGATGCCTTTGCCCTCCCTCCCTCCCAAGTCCGAGCTTCAACTGTGTTCATGTCCCAGGAGGTGCGCATCGCACTCATTGTTTATGCATATGCCCGTCCCCTCCTCCCCCCTCCCCCTGCCCAACATCTAATAAATGTTATTCTTATATGTGCTCTTAAGTGCTGTTCAGCTAATACCAATTTGATGGTGAGTACATGTGGTGCTTGTTTTTCCATTCTTGGGATACCTCTGGCAATGTTTTAAGAGAATCATAAAAAGGCCTTTATCCATTTAATTCAGTAATTACACTCTTAACAATCTATCCTAGGAATATAATTCAGAAGAATGAAAAAGCTCTATGCTTAAGGATGCTCATTGCAATAACATAATGGTGAAAAATCTGAAATGTTTACTAGTATGGGGAGGAATTCATTACATAAATTATGGTATAGGAACTCAATGGAGTAATATACAGACCTCAGGACTCCAGGCAATGTGTTATTAATAATTACAACAAGCAGGATAACAAATTAAATGTACTTTATGGTTGTAATTAAGTACGTCAAGGGACAAAGACCAGGAAGAAACATGGAAAAATGAAATTAGTTAATTTGTTAAGATGGTGAATAGTGGGTGATTTCGCTTTTGTTTGTTGTTATTGCAATGTTTGCGCATTTTAAAAACTTTAGAGCCCTTCCAAGATGACTGCTTAAACTGAAAAACTCCACACTGCTTATCACGCCAGCTTACATTTTCCATGCTTCTTCCACAGTGCGCCTCCTCTCAATTATCTCCCTCCGCAGCTTTACCATCTCCCTTTGAATCTCCTCTTCTTCTTTCTTGGCCTCCAGAGCCTTCCTTTTCTTCTCTTCTTGCACCAGACACTGAGCTTCTAAGAAGGCCGATTTTTTCAGGGCCTTCTCAATTCTCTGGCACTCCAGTTCTTTTTCACGTCTTAAGCGATTTTCTTTTACCTTAAAGAGAATATAACAGAGGTAAAATGCAGCCTTTCAAGCAGGAAAGGACATGCAAAACCTTAGAATACATTCTGAAGTTTTGAATACAACCAGTTTGAAATATTGTGGCTCAGACCCCCACTGTTTATCGGTAGAATAGGGGGAATTCATTTGTTTACTGGGTAAGTGCCAATACAAAATTTTAGATGCAGTCAGATAAAGATGACTCAAACCATCAAGGAATGATTGGCATCACAGAAAAACTGATAATCTAATGGGCCAAATCCCGAGTTCTGGATTCTTATTTAGTAATGATTTCTTACCCATAAGATTGTCCAAGGTATACATTACTGCTTTTACCTAGGCCCTGTCTGCATTCTAAGTTAAGAAAGAATAGGATACTTTTTGGAGGCTCCATTGTGAGGGATACAACGGTGATTTACTGCCTTAAGGAACAGCACAACTCTTTATTCATTTCTGTCATTACTTAAATATACCAGTGATTCTGCATCATATTTGGAAACCAAAAACATGAATAAGCACACTCACTTTTTTCAAACCTATTAATTCTTTAGAGGGCTAGCTAGCTAGGTATGAATTAAGGAATGGTCCTTTCCTTCCTGCTTCACAAGACTTTACCCTTATCTTACTCTCTAGTTGTGATAAGACTTCTGATAAGACTACTAGACAATGGCTACATATCTTATTGAATCTTCTCCCTTCTCTTTTGTCATAAATCCAAACCAGAATCATACTTCTACCCATTTCTCCAACATCCCCTGTACTGAGGCATACCTGAATGATTTGTTTTAAAGCAGTGATTTTCAAATTTAGCAATCAGAAATTCAGTGTTATAAAAAAGTACACACATGTACAGACATTAATGCCAGTTTAGTCTTAGTTCTGGACATATGGTAAAGACTTGGTCATTATGATTCTCTGAGGCTCCTTTACAAAGTGTTGAGATACCAGTCTTGTTTCCTATAACCTACTATTCCCTTTGGAGAAAAAAAAAGTTCCCACATGCCTTTCTAATTCAAAACAGATGAACTGGATTTAATTCAGATCCTTCCTCCCTTTTAAATTATAATCACAAAATGAGTGAATTTCAATTGTCTAGAAAAGAATTATCTTCGTAACATTGACCAGAATATTCATGATATTAATATACTGATGTCTCAATTCAAAACCAAATTCAAGCAATCTACATATTTATCATAGGAAGTACCACATTCAGAGTCCAGAGAGCTCACCATTACACTAGGGAGCTGGAAGTCCCACAATCAAACAAAGTTTACCTGGACACTCTTGGGCAAAATCAATTAATCTTTTTTCGGTTGTTTCTTAAATAAATTGTTTCCTACCCTCAGTTTATGAGAATTATTTCTCTTCTGAAGTTCTTATATTTTATTTTTATTCTTTCTAACCAAACCACAGATGGCACCCTTTTTCATAATAAAGCCTATGTCTTTATTTAAGCTTATTAAATGTGTTACACAAAGACTGTTTCCTGTTATCCATTTTAATTTTGTTTTTCCCTCCCACCTGCTTATGTCTCATCTCCATGGTAAGACGAGGATCCTTCTGCTGCTTCTTGTCTTGGTTTTCCTTCCTTCCAAGATCTTCCAACATCCCAGAATCCACCACATCTTTATGGAGCAGATGGTCTATAAATTTTTGAACTGTGGTACTTTCCTCTTCTTCCTCCAAATAGCCACATAAATCTGGGGGAAACAGAACAACAACAAAAAAAGGGAAATTTTTTAAAAATGTAATTTTAGTGTAATATTCATATTTATATAAAGAATCCTGGTACAGTAAAAATACAAAGCTGTGAGTGTTCAAAAAATAGTAACTGATAATGCCAACTGGATGAGTGTAGCTCTGAGCAATTACCTTCAACTAAGAGGAAAAAAGCTCCACTTCTCAGGAATTGCCCTCATCCAAGTCACTAAAAACTCCTTCACTGCCAAATCTAAAAGCTATTACTTCATTCTAAACAACTTGAGACCTCTACTGCTTTTTTTAAAAAAAAGCTTTACTGTGGTATCATTGACAAACAATAACCTGCAAATATTCTTTAAAATCTACAATAAATTTTGACATGTGGATATGCCACTAAAACCATCACCCTAGTCAAGATAATGAACATACCCATCAATCCCCAACATCTCCTCATGCTGATCTGTAATCTCTTCCTCTCACTCTGTGCCATTCTCTCTGCCCTGCTTCAGGTAAGCACAGATACGCTTTCTGTCACTACAGATTAATTTGCATTTTCTAGAATTTCACATCAATTAAATCATACACTATGTACTTTTTTTTTGGTCTGGCTTCTTTTACTCAGCACAATTATTTTGAGATTCATTCACGTTGTATGTATCAATAGTTTATTGCTTTTCGTTGCTGAGTAGTATCCCACGGTATGGATATACTACATTTGTCTATTCACCCATCTGTTGATGAACATTTGAATTGCTTCCAGATTTTTGCTATTACAAATGAAGCTGTTAGAAACATTTGCGTACACTCGGTGGTATCTGTGGGGGATTCATTCCAGGATTGCCCAAGAATACCAAAATCTGAGGATACTCAAGTCCCTGATATAAAATGGCACACGATGTGCATATAACCTACCCATATCCTCTTTTATGCTTTAAATCATCTCATGCTTACTTATAATATACCTAATAATGTAAATGTTATGTAAATACTGTTAAGTTGTGTTGTTTATGGAATAATGGCAAGAAAAAAAGTCTGTACGGATACGGTACAGATGCAATCTTTTTCCCAAATATTTTCAATCTGCAGTTGGTTGAATCCACGAATTCAGAACCTATGGAACACGGGATTTCCTTTCTGTTGGAAAAATGCCTAGGGGTGGAATGACTAGATCATATGATAACCATATGCTTCACTTTTTAAGAAACTGTCAAACTGTTGTCCAAAGCGGTTATGCAATTTTACATTCCCACCAGCAGTTTGAAAGTGATCCAGTTCCTCTACATCCTTACTAATACTTGCTATGGTCAGTCTTTCAAATTTAAGCCATTTTAATAGATATGTAGTGGTAACTCATTGTAGTTGTAATTTGCATTTCCCTAATGACTAATGATACTGAACATCTTCCTTGTTGATGTTTTTTAGTTCTTCTATAGATTTTTGAAAGTGGGGTACTGAAGTCTCCAACTAAAGTCATGTGTTGAATAACAACATTTCAGTCTACAATGGACAGCATATATGAAGGTGGCCACATAAGACTATAATGGAACTGAAAAATTCCTATTGTCTAGTGATGCTGCCATCGTAACATTGGGGTGCAATGTATTATTATTCATGAGTTTGTGGTGGTGCTGGTGTAAACAAACCTACTGAGCAGCCAATCACATAAAAGTACATCACATACAATTATGTATAGTACGTAATACTTGATAATAAATGACTATGTTATTGGCTTGTGTGTTTACTATACTTTTTATCATTATTTTAGATTAGAGTGTACACCTACTTATATATAGAAAAAGGCAACTGTAAAACAGCAGGTCTTTCAGGAGGTATTCCAGAAGACGGCGTTATTATCAGAGGAGAAGACAGCTCTATGTGTGTTTTTCCCCCTGTAGACCTTCCACTGGGACAAATGTGGAGATGGAAGACAGCGATACTGATGATCCTGACCCTGCGTAGGCCTAGACTACTGTGTGCGTTTGTGTCTTAGTTTTTAACAAAATAGATTGAAAAGTGAAAGGAAATTAAAAATAGAAAAAAGAATAAGGATATAAAGAAAATATTTTTTGTACAGTTGTCCAAATGTTTGTGTTTTAAGCTAAGTGTTACTGTAAAAGAGTCAAAAAGTTAAAAAAATTAAAAAGTTTATAAAGTAAAAAAGTTATGGTAAGCTCAGATTATTATTGAAGAAAGATGTTTTTATAAATTTAGTATAGCCTAAGTATACAGTGTTTATAAAGTCTACAGTAATATACAGTAAGCAATGTTTTAGGCCTTCACATTCACTCACCATTCACTCACTGACTCACCCAAAGCAACTTCCCGTCCTGCAAATTCCATTCATGGTAAGTGCCCTGTACCAGTGTACCGTCTTTTATACACTGTATTTTTACTCTACCTTTTCTATGTTTAGATATATTTAGATACTCAAATACTTCCCATTGTGTTACAACTGCCATTCGGTACAATAATGTGCTGTACAAGTTTGTAGCCCAGGAGCAATAGTCTATACCGTATAGCCTGGGTGTATAGTAGGCTCTACCATCTAGGTTTTTGTAAGTACAATCATGAAATTGCCTAGCAATGCATTTCTCAGAACTTATCTCCCTTTTTAAGTGACATATGACTGTATTATTGTTGAATTATTTATTCCTTTCTTCAATTTTATCAGTTTTTGCTTTATGTATTTTGCAATTCTCTGTCAAGTATATATATGTTTATAATTATTATGTTTCTTGATGAATTGACCCTTCTATTTATATTTAGAAGGTGCACCTTTTGTCTCTAGTAACAATATTTTTATCTTAAAAAGTCTATTTTTTTCTGGTATAAATATAGCTGTTCCAGCTCTCTTTTGGTTTGCATGGTATATCTCTTTTCATCCTTTTACTTTCAGTCTATTTATATCTTAAATCTAAAGTATGTCTCTGCAGATAGCATATAGGTAGGTCATGTATTTTTAATCCATTCTGCCAATCTCTGCCTTTGGACTGGAGTGTTTAATTAAATCCACTTATACTTAATGTAATTCTTGATAAGGTAAGCTTCATGTTTATCATTTTGGTACTTGTTTTCTAGATGTCTTATATAAATGCCCTTTATCAAGTTGAGGAATTTCTCTTCTATTACCAGTTTGCTGAAAGTTTTTTCAGAAGTGAATGCTGGATTTTGTCAAGTGCTTTTTCTGTGTCTATTGAGATAATCATGTGTAAATTAATGTTTCGGTAAAAATCCTTTTTAATGATTACATAATATTTTTGTTCAATATTTTGATTAAAAAAACCCCAACTCTACCAGCATAACATGATTGAGTCCTGGTATGATACTAGATGATAACAGCCAATCTAAGTAAAGGGATATAACTACATCTATTAGCACCATATCAAAAGAAGTAATAGTTTCATTATGTTCCATGTATTTGCTTTAGAACAAATATGAAGTATTGACACATCCCACTGTAATAATGACACTAATAAACTAGGAAATATCCAAAATGCAGCACCAGGATGATAAGACCTAGAAACCATGTTATAAAGAATTGTTGAGAATACTGGTGCTATTTAATCTGGAAACATCAAAGCACATAAGTGATCAGATATGATTACAACTCCCACAGAAAATGAAAAAGACTGTTCTTGAGAGAGAACGTGTTATTTTCTGTTGTTTTCTGTTGTAAAAAGTTACTAAGGACAAAATCTAAGTTCCCCTAACCAAGAAATTCTATAAGGATTAGGGCCTCATAGCAGTTGAATGGGTTCCTCCCAAGTGTAGGCTCCCTGTCCTGGGAGGTGTTCAGGCAGAGATTACATCACCATGTTAGGTTAGAGACACTGCAGAAGGATTTCTATCTGAGTAGGGAAGGAAGCTGGATCAGACTAGGTGATCTGAAGGATTCTTCTAACTTTAAGAGATCATAATTTTGTGATTCTCCCAGTTGGGGATTTTGTAGAGCCCTAAATAAGGGGGATGATGCCAGGTGTACTCACTAAGGGTGTTTAAGTCATGCAGGGGGAGCTGTCCCCAGTATCACCATGTCTACCCCTATGCTTAGAAGTAAAAACCTCAGACTCCTGAGTGTATTAGAGGAACCCTCACAAGTTAGCCATCTAACTAGTCTATCACTAGCTCTGCACACAACAGTGGCTTTTTCTCCTCTGGAAAAACAAACCTAGAAAAGTAATAACCTCCCTTATAAGTGAGAACTAATAAAGAAACAGGAAGCATTTTGTAAATATAAAACTGATATGTGAATGCTTAAATGTCATCTCTATTAAATAGTCCAATGATATATGGGGCAGGGGCAGTCTTAAACAGCATTAATTGCTATTATAATCATAAGCAGTATTACAAATATAGCCAGCCTTCTCCACCCATGGGTTCTGCATCCCCAGATTCAACCTTGGGTTGAAAATATTCTAAAGAAAATAAAAAATAAAAAGTAACAATAGCACAATAAAAAATTATGAATAAAAAATACAGTATAGCAACTATTTACATACTCTTTACAATGTATTAGGTATTATAAGTAATATAGAGATGATTTAAAGTATATGGGAGGATATGTATAGAGCACCCAAGGATTTTGGTGTCTGAGGGGGAATCCTAGACCCAATCATCCCTCACAGATACCAAGAGACAACTGTAACAGAGTATTTTAATTTAAAAAAAAACCCATGAATTTACTGAAGATATAGCATAAGTAATCTACATTCAATCACAACAAATTAAAACAAATAATAAAACTAAGCAAAACACAGAAAAATCAAATATATATTGTTTATCATTCAAAACAATTATAAAGACTTCTTAGACACATTCATTAGATAGTAAAGCCTAGAACAATCAGATAAGTTCTTACCATCAAACTTATCATATTTCATATGGCCATTGGCTTCTGGCATAAGAGTGATACTTGACACAGTGTTTTCAGTATCACCTTCTCCATCACTTGCTAATTCTTGCTTAAATTTGGCGTCTAACCAGTCATTGACCAACTCCTGAGCTATAAAACAAAAACATCTTTTAAATATTTCAATTACTTCATAGACTTTCTTCATTCACTGTTTTCATTCATTCAATAAATATTAATTGAGCACCTATCATGTGTCAAGTACTATTCCTACATGCTAGAAATATAGCAGTGACCAAAACTGGAAAAATAAACCCTACCACCCTGAAGCTTATATTTTAATTGGGGAAGAGAGACAATAAATATATAAGGGGAAAAAAAAGCAGGGAAAGGAGAAATGGAATGCAGGAAATGGAAGATGAGTGTTGTAGTTTTAAGATACTGGAGCAAAGATGGGAAGGCAGTGAGGGAGTAAGCCATGTGGATATATAAGGGAATATTCTATATAGAGGGAAAGCAAGTACAAAGGCCCTAAGCAGGAGTATCCAGAGTGCTGAAGAAACAGCAAGGAGGCCAGTGTGGCTGGAGATGAGTGAGTGAGAGGGAGAATAGTAGATGAGGTAGAAGCAGGTGTGGATCAGGTTTAGAGCAGTGGTTATAAACTGGGGGCAACCTTGCTCTCCAGTGGACATAGCACAATGTCTGGAGCCATTTCTCCTTGTCCCATTTGGAAGATGTGAAACTAGCATCTAGTGGGTAGTGGCCAGGGATGCTGCTAAACATCCTACAATTCACAGGACAGCCCCCTCCACAACAAAATTTCTCTAGCCCCAAATGTCAATAGTCCTGTGGTTAAAATCTCCTTGTTTAGACACTATTCTAGGTACTTGAGCTTTTCTACTCTGACCGCAATGGGAATCCATAGGAGGCTGTGAGCAAAGAGGTGACTTATATTTTAAGAGGATCACTGACCATGATGTTAAAATGAACTATAGGGGACAAGCACTTAAGCAGGGAACACTAATTGGGAAACAAACACAATAATCCAGGTGAGAGGTGATGGCGGTCTAGATTTGGAGTGGAGATATTAAAAATAATTAGATTCTAGAAAAAAATGTTTGGAGGTAGAGTTAACATGATTTGCTGATTGACTGGATATGGGATGCCAGAGAAAGAAATCCACGTCTTTTGGCTTAAGCAACTGCAAAGATGGAAATGTCATTTACCTAGATGCGGAAGGCCAAGGGAGCAGCAAGTTTGGGGGGAAAGATTTTAGACACGTTAGGTTTGAGATGTTTATGAAACATCCACAGAGGGGTGTCAAATATGGCATTGGTTATAATATTCTGGATTTTAGGGGGAGGTCCAAGCTGAAGAAATAAGTGAGGGAGTTGTCAGCACACAGATTGTATCTAAAGCCATAAAGTGGATGAGATTACCAAAGGAGGAAGGTAGATAGAAAAGAGGTTCGAGGACTGAGCCTTGAGGAACTCTAGCTTTAGGAGCTGAAGAGATAAGGTAGAACCAAGAAAGATGACTAAGAAGGAGAGGTAGGAGGAAAATCAAATTGTGAAACCCTGAAAGCTAACTTCCATTTGGATTTCTCTCTTAACGATACTGAGAAAATGTTCTTAAATTATATAGGTATGGGGGAAAATGTCCACTTTAGCATTATCTTCATTGCTATCATTATGAAATAGCTCTTATGTGTGGGGCATGGGGATTTCAAAGAAGAAAAACACCATTTTAGCATTACTTTCATCATTGTTATCATTATTGCACAGCTCTTAGGGAATGGGGTATTTATATTAAATGATTCCAAGAGGCATTTAAAATAAATAAGAAAAAAATAATCAGAGTAATAGAAACTAAATGTAAAAAGTATACACTGTTGGCTTTCAGAGGAAGGTAGAGGGAGCAAAGATTTATTGATTAATCCTTATATACAATAATTCAGACCTTTATGTGTATAATAATTTATATGCAAAATAATTCAGACCTACTAAGTGCCAATCATTGGTAAATGGGGATTTACTGTAAAATGTCCCCTAAAAACAAAGGAAACTTCCCTTGGAGGGTTAAACTATAGAAACATTTCACATTGGATCACAGAAGTATACAAGCTATCTTAAAGCAGAGTCTTTCGAAGTACATTCCTCAGAACACTAGCTCTTGTAGAATAATAGTTGATGAAAGGAGAAAGAATGATATAAATCTTTGAAAACCATTTTCTATCCATACGCTAGCACTTCCTAATATGAATCACTAGTTTCTCAGGATATTAATAGGTATTTCAGGATAAAAAGAGGTTCATGGCCTAGGAAGCTTGGGAAATGGGGTAAGTAGACATTTCTTTTTAACTGCAGGACTTCTCAGAACCCTTAATAGGCAAAGTATATCGTGTATCCCTATTGGTAGGGTGGGAGGTACGACAGGCAAGATCAGCCCTGCCAATTTCAGAATCAATTTCGTTCCTCTATGTCCAGCACTTGAGACCAACAGCCATTACTGCTCATCCAGACTACTGCAATAGCGTTCCGGTCGTTGTCCCTTTCCCTCTTTTTCTTCCCTATAATCCATTCTTCATATATTTAAAAAATTGTCCTATTAATATTACACATCTGCTTAAAACCCTTTGATGCCATCTTATCATACTCAAAGTAAAATCTAAATTCCTTCCCCAGGCCTGCAAAGGCCCTATGTGACATGTCTTCTGTTCATTCCTGCAAGCTCATCTCTACTGGGAAGGTCCAGTCACGTGGGTCTTCCTCCAGTTTCTCAAGCACACCAGGCTTGTCTGTACATTAGTTCTTGACACCGCCTTTCACTCTGCCTAAAATGCTATCCCCCACCACTGGTCAGCTGCCTCTCTGTTATTCAGGTTCAAACTTGAATGACATTATCACCACCTGATAATTTGTTTTTAATTTTTTTATTCCCACTCTAGAATGTATACTTCACGAAAGCAAGGGCTTTGCCTCTCTTGTTTATAACCAGTACTTCCAATGCCTAAAATCGTACCTGACACAGAGTAAGAATTAAGAATGTATGTGTTGAATAAATGAAGAAATAAATGGAATAATTGGAGACGTAAATAACCCAAAAGAAAGTTGGCTTGTAGGACATCACCCTCTGACTTTCCTCCTACCTCAGTGGCCTCCCCTTCTCAGTCTCCTTTGCTGGTCCTCCCGATCCCCTCAATCTCTAAATGGCAGAGTTCCTCAGGGGATCAGTAACTAAAACACTGAATTCCAGAAGAGTAAATGCTTTTGAGAGATAGGGAGGTTAGACTGGTTTTAGTATCTCTTCATCAGGAATAAAATTGATTCATCAACTGTGATCAAAGTATCTGTATAATACCAGATTAAATTAACATGGAATTGTACCATGTATGCCACAGGACTAATACCTTACTCACCAGTTAACTAGTTACATAAAACTTCCCCTGGATGTGGTCTATTTCAGGAAATAAAATGGGCCTTAAATATAGCTTTACTTATAATATTAGAGTTAACTCCAGAGTAAATTAGCTTCGGGGCAGTAGAAAGAAAGGAAAATGAAGAACAAGATTTTAAAAAAACTTCCATTCCCTACTTTGAAATGCCTTATGGGTTATGCTTTAAGAATTGTTAACATTACAGCAAAAAATACATTCTCTCACCTTCTGCATAGACTTCATCATGATCCTCTGTTTGTTCAGATGCTTCCAAATCTCTGATTTGGCTCCAAAGCCTTCCAGGTAAATCTGAATTTCTGGCAGGAAATGCGTTCAAAACTGCAAGTTCTGAAGCTTTTTCCACTCTCTTCAATGTAACAGAAGAAAATCCATTAAGATGACAACATCTGTGTTCAGGGTTAGAGAATGTCTGTCCTATTCAAGAATCTTATTTTCTGCCAACTACTAAGATTCTTTCATTTTTCCATTTTTGAAGGAGCTTTGAGGTTTAAACATCCACCCCAAATAATTTTTTGGTTTCATATATAATATTAAATTACTTGCAGAGTTTTACCAAGTTCTAACAGGTGTTCACAATGTTTATATTTGAACATAAGCTTATTTAAACTTTAGATAACTTTTGTTTAGGGCATTAGCAATGGGATCCTGAGACCTGGATATTTTATTTTAAATAAAAATTTAGTATTTTATTAGTTTCTATGCCACTAGGACTTGCATATGAATATGAACCAGAGGCGGAGTAATTACAACTTCCTCAAATTACTACTCCTGAAAGGAGCCTCCCATCATATATTAGGCAAACTATAGGTTCAATAAAATTGGGCTAAACAGAGTAACCGAACTGTAGTCATCCAGAATGTTTCAACTCAACAGTAAGAGTCCAGCAAAAACACGATCAAATTAATAGGATTGGGCAAGGGAATGGAGGAGGTGGGCAAACTGCCTTAGCATTTTGATTTACCCGCACAGTATAAAAAACCTTATTTTATAACTAAACCCCTGACTTTCCCCCCTCCCCACAAACCTGCTTTCCCCCATGCTTGCTTTGTTCCTAGTCTTCCAACTCAGGTAGTGACAACTCTATTCTTTCAGTTGCTCAAACTCTGGACAAAAACTTTGGAGTCCTCCTTAATCCAATCTCTCTCTCTCTCACCCCACATACAATCTGTCAGGAAATCTGTTGACTCTAACTTCAAAATATATCCAGAATCTAACCCCTTCCCGTCACCTCCACTGCTATCACTTTGGTCCAAAGCACAATTTCCTCAACAGGTTTTCTGGCGTAGCCTCTCACCACAGCAGTGAGAGATCCCTTTAAAATGGAAGCCATATCATGTTATAATTCCACTCAAAATGCTTCAGTGGCTCCCAATTTCAATCAGAACAAAAGTCAAAGTCCTTACAATGCTCTTCAAGGTCCTGTGCCACCAGGCCCTTTGTGAGCTCTCCAACCTCCTCACCTGCTGCTCATCCCTTTGCTCACTCTACTTCAGCCACACTGACCTCCCTGTTTGTTCCTCCTCAAAAATGCCAAGTGTGTGCCGCAGGGCCTTTGCCCTTACTTCCCCTCTGTCGGATCTGCTCTCCCACAGGTATCCATATGACTCCCTCGCTTCCTCAAGTCTTTGCTCAAATGCTACCTTCTCCGTAAAGCCTTCTCTGACCACCCTATATGAAACTGTAACCACTCTCCTATGGCTCACCTTCTCCTCCTTCTCTGCTCTTCCTCTATAGCACTTATCACCCTATATTTTATCATTTATTGTCTCCCCCAAGTAGAACGTTAGCAGGGATCATTGTCTTCTTCGTAACTGAACCCCTAGCACCTAGAACAGTGCTGGGCACTTAACAGGTGACCAATAAATGTTAAGAGAATAAATAAATGAAATATATTCAAAAAAGGTGTACTTTCCTGTATTTATATTGTCACCTGACCTATTTTGAAAATGACTTTTTCTTCTGCCCTTTGTGGAAAGACTGGTAGTATCTCTGCCAAAAGCCATGGGTTTTAATGTCCAAACGCTCATGGGTTTCATATATTAGGTTTAAGTCAGACAGAAACAGAGGAATAAAGTTGAAAAGTCAGGGGAATTTGAAAAAGATGTAGAAAATATAATACACAGGAAAAGATATGAACCAGAAGAAAACATGATGTTATTAGAGTCAAGAAAAATATCATTTATTCCTTATGAGGTCACTGTGCAGAGACCTGTTTTCCCATATTATTTCTCAGAGTCTCTGTCTGATATGACCAAATTTATATTGGTGGTATATGACATTTATTGGATTTATGGTTGGTTGCTACATACTCTTTCCTTTAGGTTCTTAAATTCTAAGACAGCAAGATGAATTTTGCATATACCGTATATATACACATATGTAAATAATATACAAATAAATTGATCAACTTTAATTTTTTAAACTAACACTCACAAACAAAAAATAAACAACAAACACAGATACGTACATTTAGTTCCTCAGGCTATGAGTGAAAGAAATAACTATGTATGATGTGTCATCCTACCTGAGTTGGAGTTTATACAGGTTCTTAACAGAAGAGGGTAGAGAGCTTCGGAGATAAGAGGAAGAATATTGAAGGATAAAGAAGGATAGAGTCCAGCACTGACAAATAAGGGAGTAAAGAGAAATGTCTGCTTGGCTTTAAGAAGGCAAGTGTTTGGGACATCATTTCAAATGAAGATTTGGGCCAAGCGTGGTGGTTCACATCTGTAATCCTAGCACTCTGGGAGGCCAAGGAGGGAGGATTGCCTGAGGTTGGGAGTTTGAGACCAGTGCAAGCAAGAGTGAGATCCCGTCTCTACTAAAAATAGAAAAAATTACCTGGGCATGGTAGTGCATGTCTATAGTCCCAGCTACTCAGGAGGCTGAGGCAGGAGGAACACTTGAGCCCAGGAATTTGAGGTTGCAGTGAACTATGATGATGTCACTGCACTCTAGTCCAGGGGAAAGAGTGAGACTCTGTCTCAGATAAATAAATAAATAAAATGAAGATGAGGGGCAACTACTAGATGATACTAAGGATTATAAATAATCACTACATTTCTTTGTCTTAAAATATTACCATTTTTTCCAAAATAAATATGTCAGAGACAAGAGAGGTCTATTCTATATTTCAGTAAAACATTGTGTTAATTTAACAACTTATTCTTTCAGTAAGTCCTGATTGAAGGCTAGCTCTGTTCCAGCACTGTTGTAGGCATTAAGAGGAAACAGAAGTAAAAGTTTCTGTTCTTAAAAAGTTCACTTTTTTTTATATTTGGTTCCGTTTGTCATGTGTGCAATAAACAACTCAAGAACAGTTCTAAAGCAATGCAGGGTGATTTAAAAAGAACTGAACACCTTCAAAAGTTTATTGCTCAGTAACTACGTTATATATAAGCATGTAATTTGTAAAGGAACTATCTCAGTTATTCCCATGATCTTATAAATGCTCAGTATGTGCTGCTTGTGTCCCATAGCATGCATACATCAATTTCATGGTCCACTCCAGATCCTTTGTAGCCTATCACCATGGATGACAGAAACAGCAGTTGCAATGTAATCTTTCATTTCCTCAAAACCAGGTGGATATAAACATGAGTTTCTTGACACACCCTCATGTGCATACTGCATGTTCATATATAATAGTGCTGTAATATTAATATATTTATGAAGTGCCCAATTATTTTTTAATCACTTTGTATAAAAGCAAATGTTTGATGCTATATCTGTGTGTATACATACCAAAATAATTCCAAGGGAAAGAGGATGGGATTAGGTGACTGAGGTGGGTGAGGAGGAGCATCTCAAGTTGAGCTGTAAGGGAAGGGTCTGGATTGGCCTCTCAGAGAGGACAGGTATTCCAGGCTGAAGGATCAGTATGAGTCAAAGCAAAGGGAACTGCTATATGATGGAGGAGAAGGAGATTAGCCTGACAGGAGTCACACACAGTATCACTATAGGGGCTGCCACAGGTAAGTTGATATTATAGGTTGATTCATAGAAGGCCTTAAATGCCCGTCTGGAATTTACAAAGTTTCATCTGACAGCACACAGAATCACTGAAGGTTCAAGAGCAAAGAACTGACTTGATGAAAATGTTTAGAAAGCTCAATCAAGTCACAGAATACAATGGAGTAAGATGAGTCAGTCTGTCTAATCAGGATGAGGATGAATCACAAATCACTATGGACTGTTGCATTTTGGGTGAGCTGCTGTAGGACTCACAGTTTTACCCAAGCATCTGCCTGATTCTAAGTGACTTCAACATCTCTGAGGATGATTCAACAACATTTCAGCCTGATCTTCTGTATTCCAACAGCCTTCCCTTCAATTCCCCTTCAGCAACCCACTGATATGTTCACCCTGAACCATGTGACACAGCATGGTTCACAGTATTTTCCATAGCTCGAACCAAACTTCGATAACCCCCTCTCCAACATCAACCTCCTATCAATCTCCCTGTGTCATTCTCCCTACTCCCACGACATTGATGTTGGACCAACCCAGGTCCTCCAGTCACTGTATGCCTCCCTCTTCTGACTTATGAGTCCTTTAAAGGGTCCCCTTCCTTTCCTATTTGGTGTGAATATTCAACTACTATCTTACATTATCCTCAAACTCCTGTTGCTTTCCCTTTCTGATGAGAACCTCCAAGCATGGATCAATCCAATCTACCAATTATTGGGACCATGAAAAATTATGGTTACCTGCTTCAGCCAGGTCTCCAGTGCTATTGGGCAATCTTCCTTTTCTGTTCTGAAGAGAGGCCTTTCTCAACTTGCTATCCTCCGTACCCTTTCAATACACTCCCCTCTCCTTCTACATAACAAGGTATCAGCTGATTTTGAGAGGGTGGTCCACTTAAGTGGATTTGGAAGTCTTAGGTCCAGAAGTCTTAATTGTTTAGGGTGCACCCACAGTTGGGATATATTAGGGAGAAAAATCAGAAAAGAAAACAGAGAAGTGAACAGAGAGGTAGTAGTAGAATCAGGAGAAAACAGTGTTAAAAAAGATAATGGAGAGGATTTCTAGAACAAAAAAGTGATAATTATATCAAATGTAACTTGAAAAAGTTTGAGGACTATCAAGAGATTACTGGATTTGGTCAGGAAGTCATTCATAACAAGTTTCGCTGGAATGGTGAGAAATAAAAACTGCAGGAAAATGATTGTGGACAACAAAAGGACAATAAAAATACAAAGGTAAAGGAATCCAGGCTATACATCCAAAGACACTGGATAAGAAAAAGAAATCATTCAGCAATCAGAAAGGACTGTTGGGTTAAATAAGGACTTACTGATTTTTTTTCAAGATGGGAGATTTAAGGGCATAATGGAGAAAGAGCTACTGCAGAAGTTTTGGAGGAATGATAAAAGAAATGATAAAAATCTGAGTCAAGCTGGCTAAAAACTATATGAAAGAGGAAAATGGTATAGACAAGTTAGAGCAGAATTTTATCCTCCTGTTTTACTTAAATCTTCCCCTCTGGAAGAAATGGTAATGAGCTGTGCAACTAAGCCCTGCAGGGGCTTGGCACAGAGACTCTCAACAGTGACATGCAAGCTAGACTTACTAACTGTTGAGGAGTGGTCTTCTCAGAGTGTAGCTTCCATGATGGTAGATCTATTTCAGGTGTCTTCTAAGCGAGGCCTTCTGCAGTAGCCAGGAAGCCATCGCTGGCTCCATCTAGATTAGTGCCTCCCATCACGTGCTTCCATTACATCTCTAATTCTTCCATCAGCTTTACATAAGTTGTTTATCCCCTACTGGACTGTAAACTCTGGGAAGGCAGGGATTTTCCCTGCCCTGTGCTTGTTTTAGCTCTAGTACCCCTAGTGGGCTAGTACTCAGTAGGCACTTAATAAATACCAGCTGAATGAATAATGGTTAAAAATTTTTACATCTGGCCCATCTTCTATCTGGCTTGGTGCTCATGATGGATATCAACTTAGATAAGTAATAACTCTTCAAAATACTGTCATTCAGAAGGATATTTGCCTGGGAAAATGCTGCATGATTTTGAAATATGTGGTACACAATGCATTGAGTATGGCAAGTTGCCAAATTGACACTCAGAGGCACACACCTGAAATGGTTTAATGGGCACTTTCAACTTAAATCATACTTGGACTCTAAAATATACATCTTAGGCCTGAAAGAGATCTCAGAGGTTATCTAAATCTAAACCAATCCTGCCCCCACCCTTTACTGAATGCTCAAATATATTCTTCATTAGCCTAACATTAAGTGACCATTTAGAGTTCACTTGAATACCTCCAGCAATAGAAAACACATCTCTTTATGAGAATGCTCTCTTCATTTCTGGATCCCTCTAGTCATTAGACAATTCTTCCTTGTAATCCACACGCAGATTTTGCCCATTGATTCCCTATGTCAATGTAACTACAGTACAGTCTTTCCAACATCTGAGGTAGGCCACCACATCCTTTCGTAAGGCTTCTCCTTACCTGTTCCTTTAATCCTCTTCATGTGATACTCATGGCATTTAAGAGAGCATGTCTACACACCTGTTTTCTTGTCATTCCTACTTAAATGCTTTCATAAGAAGCAAAAGAATAATGAAAAAATACTAAAAAGTATAAAATTAAGGCAAATACATAGTCACATGGGAATAAAAATAGCAAAATATATGCAAAGTGGAAACCTATTAGTATTTCTTTTCAATCTGAATATGTCTGACTCTCAATTCTCTGTTTTAATTTTGAAATATCCTTACCTTAATCCAGGGTTCTACCTTGTCAGGGTCAAAAGCAAGCTGTGTGGATAATATACACAGAATATTAATACACAGTGATATCTTCATCATCTTTGCCATTTTAATCTATCCTTCTGACTAAGCATATGGAAAAGTGTCCTTTATCATTTCCCCAAAGAATTTCAATTGGAAAGTTCAGCATTGATTAGCAATAATTGATGTAATTATTAACTACAACATGAAGCCTACTCTGGGACATTGTCTGACTTTTTATTTCTTGTCTAGGCCCACCCTGAGGTTTGGATTTAATTGGTCTGGGATAGGACCCAGGCATCAGTATTTTTTTAAAGCTCCCCAGGGTTAAGAGCCAAGATATAAAAATACTAGATATAAAAACCACAAAAATGATTTTAAAAATCATAAAAATCCTGATTAATTAGCCAAACAGGCACTGATTAATTAGTCAGATTATCCAACTTATCTTCTGCCTGGAGAAGGGTATGTTCCTCTCCTTACTCTTTTCAGGAGAAGTCTGGAGCAAGAGGCTTTCTTATCTTACCTAGGGTTTGGTTCAGTAAGAACTGGGGGGTGGGGTGAGGGTTAATCAATCTGACTTCTGTTTTACAAAGCAGAAAATGAGGTGGAAGACAAGTAAATTTCCACCCAGATCAGTCAGATATTAATCTGAAATTAGAAATCATATCACTAGGACTTCTCCTTTCTTCACTCTAACTCCCAGAAGCCAGCAGAATTCACTCCAATCTTCACTTGACAAATAGAGGTATTTGCTTTGCTAAAAATTAGGTGGGTTTTAAAAATAAGGAGATATCTAAACTAGCATACTGACACATGGAGGTGGGTAAAGTACAATACTCTTTCATCTACCTAACACTTCCCCTTCAAAGCACCTTACAGATAACTAATTAATGCAATTGTCCTGCTGAATCATTTTGTCACTGCAACAAAGAAAGAGCTGATCCCATTAAAATGCAACTGAACTTCAAGGAGCTCTGTGTTTTTACCTTTTCATCCTCTAGGCAGTAACAATGAGCACTACCAGCAAAAATTTTTCCTTTTGGAGTCCTAAGAAATTGTCCCAAATTTTTACCTTTCATTGTCAAGTCTATATCCATAACCTATTTTGGATCAAATCCATTATGCAACTGATGCATTGCAGTAGGAGCAGCCTCAGTTTCCAAGTCTCTCTAATGCTCCAGTCTGCACTCTCCAGTATCTGGGGCAAAATAATTACCAAGTGCAGTATGTCCAGTGTATTTAGTGGGTAAATTTAGAATAAACCACAAGAACAACTGCCTGGGGCCCTCACAAAGGCCACAATCTACAGAATATTTTTTTTGGAAAGTGTAATGTAAGGGTGAAAACAGCTGGTGAAACTGCTCTGGAATTGAAAGCTGAAAAGCGTCTTCATTTTAGTACTCTTACATTTAAAGCATTTATTTTTGTGACTTTTAAAAAAGTAGCTTGTGGAAAGCACACACCGTGTGACTGTGACTTTGCACATGTCACTTACATATGTTTCAAGTTTAAAATGGGGTTATCAGTTTTTTTCTTGTCCTCAGGTGCTAATGCATCAAAAGGGGTAACAGATTAGGAAGAGGATCTATTTTTCGAATGCTGGTTAAATTTAGAAATTCCCATGTGAATCAAGTATTGCTATATTCAATATTCACTTGCATACCTGAGTTCATTTTAGATACTTTATGTAAAACTGGAAGGGCAGGAACATAGGCAGAGCATTTAATGTGAAGATCTCCCCCGTTCAATAAAGATCAGTTCCCCAAGATTTGCAAAACATGAAAGAAAGAAAGGAAAGGAAGGGAGGAAGGAAGACAGGAAGGGAGGGAGAAAGGGAGAGAGGGAGAGAGAGAGAACGAGAGAAAGGAAGGAAGGAAGGAAGGAAGAGAGAAAGGAAAAGAAAAGTAAAAAGAAAGAAAGAAAGACACGTGTGGGAAGTTTCCTAAAATTGGCGGTGGGGGAAAGCGAGGTCGCAAATTCCTTTCACTCAGATAGGCATTAAGCAGACCTCTCCTGTTGGAGAAGAGTGTTAGATGAAAACAGTTCTTCCACGATGCTGTCCACTAAAGCCGTAAGGTACCAAGACCCCAAAAAGCTCCGAGGAGCACTTCACTCAGGTCAATGTTGTCTCCCGGGCGGTCAAGGCAGGGATGTGTCAGGTAAGGATGCCCCGTGGGGAAGAGGGAGGAAGCACAGTAGGTGCTGCCCGTGGCTTCGGGACTAGGCAGCGTCTTGGATAGGTCCCCGCCCCCCAAAGCTCCCGATTGGGATCACCTTGGGATTCGGCTTTCTTGTGAGCTGTTTCCAGCGATTCAGCCCCATCCTCTTCTTCGAGGAGGACCTTTCCTGGGGCGTCAGCAGCATTTTCCAAGTTCAGGCCCAGACCCCGGCCAAAGCTGAAACAACCGCTCCTCTGCGCGGGCTGCTTCCGGGTCCCTCTGGGAGTTGTAGTTTCTCCGCCCGCAAAGAAAGCAGGTATACGACGCCGTCGAACCACCACTCCCAGGAGGCTTTGCGCAGGCAGCTCGCGTTGGCTCAGTTACCATGGCCACGGCAGGGTTGAAGGGGCCTTGCGATCGCCAGGGCTCGCTTTGATCTCGCCCTTGACTCTTTCTGGCGTCCGGTGATGACGCAATGCTCCCTGATTGGCTCTGCAGTGGAGGCGGTGGTTTAGGGGACCAAGAATTCTGCAACCCGGACACGTGGTAGTGAACTGTGAGGAGTTTGAGAGGTTTGAAGGCCAAAAGAGTTGGCAGTTTGCGCGTAAGTACCCCCTTTCCGCCTGCTTTGGGAGCTACCAGGGATGGATGAGTTGCGTCGCGCCCAGACGCATCCTGGTTGTGTTGTAGTAACTGTAATTGCATTCCCGCTATGTCTCCCCTTTCCTTTTCTGGTTGCCTGGTGGATCTTGGCCTCTGTTAAGTTCAGATTCCACCAAATCGTGTGAGCGTCGCCGACATCTCTGAGAGAAAAGGGTCCACTTTCGACCGGCCTCTGCTCAAGGATCAAACTCTCGGAAAGTTTTTTTCCAGAACTGCCCAGGATACTTGGGAGGACGGGACGATCTCCAATCCCTGATCTAGGCGCCTAACGAAGGCAGGGGCCCCGGAGATGGCCCATGCGGCGAAGATAAATCCAACCTTATTGGATGACACTAGATGTTTCCACGGAGAGTTTACTCTTGGAGGCTACATGGGTTTATAAAGCAGAGTAGAGATTTGGAGCAGGAGCTTTGGATCCAGCTACTTTGTGGCTGTATGACCTTAGACAATTTGTTTAATAACTCTCGGACCCTCAGTTTTCTCATTGGCAAAATGGGAGGATAATAACTAAATCATTGTAGGTGCTGTAATGATTAAAAATCAATGTATGTACAGCGTTCTGCCAGGATATGTAAACTAAAGTTGGCTTGAAATTGGTGAAAATGAGATCAGGGAAGCCGAAACCTCAGACTATTGTAGCGATCCTAGAACCAGCTCTGTAACTTGAGTGTCCGTCAGAAAGGGGATGGTTGAATAAGTTGTTTTTATGCAAACTATGCAGTATCACGAAGTAGTTTTTTTAAAAGGGTAAGTTAGTTCTATGTCTCTTCTTTGGTAAAGGTATCAATTGTGTATTCCTGAGAGAAAAGCAGACTGCAGAGAAGTGCATATAATGTAGTATGTTTCCATTTTTGTAAAAGTAAATCATGACCCAAAACACCCCCTTATATACAAGTATATTTAAATTTGTATGAGTATGGAGAAAAGTTGTAGAAGCTGGGAGGGTGGAGTAAAGGCGGAGGAGAGAAAAAGGGTAGAGAACAACAAGAACACTGTAGCAAAATGGAAACTATGATTATAAAATTATATCTTAATATTACAGTTAATATGTAAATATTGCCTCTGTTTATGGACAAGATAGAACTTCTAATAAGCTACTAGCCTATTAAAGTAAACTTCTAAAGCTAGACTTCTATAATTTAAGTCCTAGCTCTGTCACTTACCAGCTGGTGACTATCAGCCTCAGTTTCCTCATCTGTAAAATGCAGGTAATAATAGCATCTATATTATACATTTGATATGAGAATTAATAGAGTTAATATGTAAAGAACAGTGCTTGATACATAGCAAATACCCAATAAATATTAGTTGCTATTGTTATGTCTTTCAGTAGGTGAAATTAATTTAACTTTTATTGTGATTACTGACATTTGGACTTCTGCCATCTTATTTTGTATTTTCTATTTTTGATGTACTTTTTGGTCTGTTTTCCTCTTTCTTGCCTTTTATAGGATTGATCTATTTTTCTTTATCCTCCCCCATCCTTCTCCAATGGATTTGGAAATTATGCATTCATATCATTCATCTTTTACTGGTTACTTCTGAACTTTTAACACACATACTTAATAAAGTTTAACATTATTCAATATCTCTCTCCACCTACCAAATAGTGTAAGGATTTCATAATAACTCTACCTCTGAAAAGTCTTCTTCTGTTACTGTTTTTTAGAATTTTAGCATTTCTGTGTCATTTCTAAGTCAGTACAGTGCACCATATTGTTTGGAAGTCCTTCAGACTTTTTTCTATGCATAGACAAACACTATAGATAGAGTGTGAATGTGGGGTTAGGGGTTGTTGGGGTTGAAGCCCATGTTAGCTCCTGGGCTCAAGCAGTCCTCCTGCCTTGGCCTTCCCAGTAGCTGAGACTACAGGCGTGCACCACCACGCCTGGCTAATTTTTTCTGTTTTTGGTGGAGACAGGCTCTCGCTTTTGCTCAGGCTGGTCTAGAACTCCTGACCTTTAGCAGGCCTCCCATGTTGACCTCCCAGAGTGCTAGGATTAAAGGTGTGAGCCACCATGCCTAGCTGAGAATTCCTTTCTTTTTATGACTTTCCACATGTGTTCTAGGGGGGAAAAAGATATTTTACAGATTTCCTATACAATTTTGAAAAATCTTCTCTTTCTTTGAGTGGCCGTGGTATGCTGCAGGATATTTTAAAAAAAGTCAGAATGCATCTTGTAGCATGTTAGATTTGCTCTCATTTAAAAGGCATAATAAAGATAGCACAGGCCTCTGTAGGAGGCCTGGGTTCTAGACCATGCCTATAATTAATGTTGCTGAGCCTCAAATTCGTTATTGTAAATGGCAGAGGGGGTGATGGTCGTGATGAGGAGTTCCCAGGTTGGGGTCTCTGGTGGTAATGGTGGAACTCTGTAAACTACTTTCAGCATTTCTAAAGTCTAATGGCAACCATACATATTGGGATATTAAGCACAGCTTTACTAAATCATTGGGGTTTGTCATTTTTACCTGGAATTGAATTAACTTAGCATGGAAAAGCAGATTATCTCTTGCTCATCGGAAGCTTTGTTGGTCATTTATATCATTTATTAATAAACTACAGAAATGAGAGAATGAGTTTGATGGGGAGAGATAATGAAAGTTGGTAACATTCTAGAATCCTAAACTTCATTTTTCAAACATACTAGTTTTACGATATGAAGGCTCTTCTTTTCCTAATATGAATTTAATTTTGAAAATACAACTCATGGTTGTGCATTTAAACTCATAACATACCTTAGACAGCTCAGACAAGACAGAATTTTTGAAGTAAGGAGAGATGCCAGTGAGTTCTTGTCTCTAGCCCTTTCTGAGATAGCGCCAGACAATACAATTTCTTCCATTCTCAGGTGTGTATGAGAGTAGGAACTGTTTAAGTTATTTCAGTATTAATAATCCTGGTCCATTATATTTTCATTACTTCTTATTTATGTTTCAAAAATCTAGTATTCCATATTGGTTGATTTCAATTTTCAGTCAGAATAACAGGTGTTGATGCATTAGCTTTGAAGTACATTTCTTGTCTTTGTGCTTTGCTCGCTCTGCTTCAATTCTCCAGAGTTACTTAGATTGCAAAATACTGTCTTTAATTTTGCTTTAGAGTTCTGTTGGTTTAAAATATAAAAAATATTTTTATCACTTGAAATCAGTATTATCTGATAAATAAGTAAGGAATATGATTCTTCTCTTATGTTTTCTAGATTACATTTTTATTAGCCTGTAATTATATTTTTCTAATGTTTTTGAAATAAACTTTCTTCTTTTAGCAGTTTTAATGTGTAACAATAGTGAATCAAACAGCTTTTATAGTATTTTTTCTTAAAATATAACTTTTTTCCCTTAACAGTCTCCATTTCAATGGATTCTAATAACATTTATTTTTGTGTTTCTATCTTTGTGATAACTTGAAATAATGATGTTATAGTCATAGAAAATTGACCAGGCTTTCCTCAAACAGTTACACTAGCTTTTATAATTTATGTTAAACATGAAATCTCCTATTTGACCATACAGAAAGTGGTTATTCTTATCTAATGACTATACTGGCTATTTTATTTAAACATAAGAATTTATGCCTCTCAAGAACATAATGTTTGCATTTCTGAGTATTTTTAACTAATGATAGATAAGGCTTATTTGTTTGGCAGCGTCTTAAACAATGGTCGACTTTCAGAGTATGGTGTAGTATAACACTTAAGAGCACCGGCTCTAAAGTTGGAGCCTGTCAGATAACTGTAATAATTTATCAACGAATAAAACTGGGCCTGGCTAAATTGGTAAGAATTCCAGAGGGTATGGTACTGGCTGTAGAGATGTAATGAAGTATTTGTAAAATGTTGGGCAATACATACTTATCAAGTTCTGTAGTGCATTTTCTTTTCTTTTCTTTTCTTTTTTTTGAGACAGAGTCTCACTCTGATGCCCAGGCTGGAGTGCCATGGCGTTAGCCTAGCTCACAGCAACCTCAAACTCCTGGGCTCAGGCAATCCTACTGCCTCAGCCTCCCAAGTAGCTGGGACTACAGGCATGCACCACCATGCTTGGCTAATTTTATATATATATATATTTTTAGGTGTCCAGCTAATTTCTTTCTATTTTTTTAGTAGAAACGGGGTGTTGCTCTTGCTCAGGCTGGTCTGGAACTCCTGAGCTCAAAGGATCCACCCGCCTCGGCCTCCCACAATGCTAAGATTACAGGCCTGAGCCACCATGCCCGGCTTGTAGTGAATTTTAAAAGTGGAACTCAGTGTTTTGCTTCACTGAATACTAAATTATTTAAGAGTAGCCAACAAATAATTGATGTTTTCTGATTTTTTTCCCTGTTGTTATCTATAGAAGTTAGAAAGTATATCTTTATTTTTTCTTTATGCAAATATTTGTTCTTTCCAGTTATAAAAGTAATGACAAATTGCTTATAGATTGCATGTATACTACACAGTTTCTTACCTGTTTGCGTGCCATGTAAGAACAATTGGAAAATAATCCTACCTCAGAGATAATCTCTGTTCATCTTTTGTTGTATACTCTTCCATATATTTTAATAAACACCAGAATGCTATTTCATAACTGTTTTCTTTACTTAACAACATT